GCAGTTCCTCCGTTTGTACCGAACCGCCATTATGGCAATTCCCCCATCTGTCACGTGGATACCGTCGTTTTCATAAAGCTGGAGGATGTCACCAGCCTGTAGATTTATGGGCTGCAATTCGCGTTCTGGTGTGATGGCTTTGGAGTCGGTGCTTGCTTTCGGCTTGCTAAGATAAATCGTGGGATTTTTTCGCAGGTTTTTGATGGCGATTGCTCCTTCGACCTGATCCCCATCAATTTCTTCGGTTTGGGTGCTGTTAAAATCTTGCTAGTCAGCAGATGCTGGCCCATATAAGCATCGTTGTAAAACGTTGGCGCCGGACCTTCGTGGCTCTTCGTGAATCAAGGTTTCCATTCCTCGTGGCACTGGCACTCTAGCAGCCTGGGGTTCCAGTGGCTTCGGAAGCACAATGATCACCAACATTTGACCCTTGCTCGGTACCAGGGCGTTTTCGACCCAAAGGCACTCCAGGCCGTGATCGAAGGTGATGCTTAGCCCTCTGGCTTTGGCTTGTGCAACAACAATGGTATTAAACTTGACACTTCGTTAGGCACGGTTGGCAAACGGGTAAACCTGTCGACTTACGTAGTCCCTGTTGTATAACGAGGCAACTGGTTGCAGTAGTGGTAAATGCGACATCGGCAACCGCCATAGGCCTCCCCTTTCTTCCACCGGTGTCATGTCTCGGGCGGAAAAGCGGACCCTACCAGCGCTTTCCCGCATATCCAGCAAATTTTCGATTTTGAAAGGGGGATCCATGACGGACCTGTTGAACTTGGCTGTTGTCGGAGTCGGGATCGGACACCTGCTGAAGTCGGGCGGCAAGCGGGGCAACGGGCTGTGACACAGCGGCACGACGTGGTTAAGCCGCCGCCCCGCCGGGCGCCGCCTTATCGCGTCTTATCGCTTTTGATCGAACGGATTGGCTCATTCCAGAATGATGTCACCCCACCAAACCAATCAGCATCGCCCCTCACCCCCGCTTAGCGATGGCCGTCCGAGCTGGGGGAAGTGTCGGAAAATCATTCCTCCATCCCCGACTTCCCCTGAACTCCTCGTCCGGCGCCTCCCTTTTTGCATTCCCACGACCGGTGGGGTGTTGCTTGGCGATCCCGGAACTCGATTGAGCTGTTCGCGCTGCTCGAGCCCTTCTGGCTCGGGGGCGCGGGCGCCGTCGTGTTTTGACCGTGGGTGCAGGAGTCCAATGAACTGGTTGTAGTCCATCGGAATTTCGGCGGGGAGCATCAAGTCTCGCGAACCCTTCGGTCAGATCAACTTAGCCCCATTGGCCCAGCTGTCTCCGCCCACCCGTAAGAGTCGATATGCCTTCGAGGTCCGTCGATTTTGAACTTGGAAGGCGGCCCGGTGGAGCCACGCGTAAATCGTTTCGCTGTTGGGCCAGGCGAGGGCTTAGGATGGGCGTTGATGCAGGCGGCCTCCTTCATCTTCTTTACGTGGTGGTTCGGGAACTCCCTTATCATGTCGGCCTGCCCGCCGGCTTGTCGTACGTCCGCAGCCTGTTAAGGCTGTCCGGTTTGCACTGGCGTATATGGTCGGTCAGGCTGGAAATCGCATTTCCGTGGTCTTCCCACCGCCTCCGGAAGCCGCTTGCACCAAGGGTCCCAGCCCTCTTAACACTATTATCATGTCCACCCAAAATATAATTTTGTCTTCCTAAAACGGTGTTTGCTTTTAAATGGGGGCTTGTGATACATTTTTCACTAATTTAAGCAAGCGCTTTAAAACTGGGAAAGTCCGCATCTTATTCTAAAAAGCCCATTTTTCTTCCGTCAGACTCCTTCAAGGTCTGCATAAAGCTCAGATCTTCTTCGGGAGGCGGAGCAAGCGGCGGCGGAAGAGGCGGTGACGGAGGAGGCGGCGACCACCTTACAGTAATTTCCGCTGCGGTTGGCTGCTTCCACATAACGGCAACACTGGTTCCCTTCTCCTCGCCCTTAACTTTCACTGGCATGTCCATGACATGTTTAAACCCTTTTTTCGCGTACTGGGGTTCCCCCATTCGGCTGGCTTCGACCAAACAATATCCCCTTCCGGCCTCCTTCACAAATTCCTCAAGGAGCATCGCTGCAGCGCCGCGGCAACGAAAGGGACGATCTGTTACGAGCAGGTGTATGGTGAACCATTTTTGAATACCGGCTTCCTTGATCTTGTCCCGGATCCACGCGCTGGCTTTTTCGAAAACGTCCGTTCGGGAGCCGACGAGCTTGAATTTTTCGGCGAGGTCCTCCGGGGGACATTCTGGTCCAAAGAAGGATTAGCAAATTAGTGAATCTGTATATAAAACAGGAGTCCGGAGAGAGGAGAGATATGGCGGAGCGAATCCCTCACCATCTCGCTGCTCGGCAGGAAAGTGGCTCTCCTGGGTCCAGACGGCGAACGCAATTACGTTCCCGTCTTCCACGATAACGTGACACTTGGAGAGCAACTTCTTGAGCCTGAACTCCCAAATCGACTCCATAACCCCCGGGTATATGGAGTGGAGTGGCCACTCATATAAGTAAGTAACATCGTCTGGCATAGAGATCACTGTGATCTCGACAAGCCGTGGGAGGTCACCGGGCTCGGCCTTTCGGCGCTCCATATTTGCCGTATTTTCCTGATTTCGGCGTGGATGGTAATGTCGAATAATCACCAGTCGAAAAAACCAGCGAGGTGCGTCCGTATATATGCTGCATAGGGCCGTCTAGTGGCGTTCCTTCACCGCGTTTAGAAGATTGTGTTCACCCGTACGTCGAGGGTGGGCGATGGGCTTAAAGCTAAGTTGGCACAGGTAAGCGCACTTGAATCCTTGTTCCGCAGCCTGCCTACTGCCCACTGCTTGTACTTTCGAGCCAGAGGCGGCAACAGCTGTCCCAACCTCTCTCCAGGCCGACGCCCTTACTCGAAGCAGCTGCCTTAACGTCAGGCATGCGTTGGCCTGCATATGCAACCTGCGAAATACGAAGTGACTGGCAACTTCGAGGAGGTATAGGTCCAGGTTCGGCAATTTCGCCAGTCGTACCCGTTGTCGGGTTTATGCCCGAAACGGTCGGGGCGTAAATTCACTCCATCAGGACTCGCGCGGCGGATTGTCGCATTTGGGGCTAGTACACGGTTGGGCAGAGCAGCCGGTGCTAGCAACGGTGGCGGGGGGTGGGTTTACAAAAAGAAGTTGGCTGCGAAGCTGCGTATGCAGGGGCCAGGATTAGGGCGGCGACTTTCAAGCGTCGCGGTCGGCCAACAAATATATGTATGCCCAATGTGGCTTTGCCATAATGCCAACTCACATGCGGCTCCGGCCCTATGAGGGGCCTTT